ATATTGTTGGGAAACAGGCTCTTACTGAGAGGTTAATGTGGTGCAAACATAGAATGAACAGGAGGTGAAGAATCCTGTGGTGTATGATTGGAATTGGAAGTAGTAGTAGGAACTTACGATTTCATATATATTAGATTTGTCTCTCTAAGCAACCTCTGGATTTGTAAACATGCTCCAACAGGAAGTGGGCTGCACAAACAAGCTGTGTGGTCCCCAAGTTTGCTCTCTAGGGTGCTTCAGATGTGGAACAGGGGCCAATGGGCAAGGAATTAACTCCCAGAGCTGGAGGTCAAGGAAGCAAGGGCGTTCCTCTCTGAGAGCTCAATCAGGGACTTACTCTATCACCAGGACAGGGGATCTTCCCAGTCCTAACAGAAGGACGTGACTACTGCTATGGAAACGACTGTGGTGTTTCTTCCTTTCCCCTTTTCTGTTCCAAATCTATCTTTGTTGGTGGGGAAAAAAAACCTTTCTCTTAGACTGTAGGTGATCAGAGCAAAAGGAGCCACGTAATGGAGAGAAGCGCCCATCACCAAGAGATCCTGGACTTTGAACTTCATAATATAACTGGATATGACTTTGAGAGCATCTACTGTGGGAAAAGGGAAGATAAGCCATGTGCACTTGGATATTTGGATGGCTTAAGAGGCAGTCTGTGAAGGAGACTGCTTGCTAGCTGCCCCATACCTTTCTCTTTGTTCTCTATAATAAGAGAGGTTTTGAATTTTCCCCGAGTCCCAGTCTCCCTTGCACCTAGATGTGGTCATGAGACTAGGTTCTGGTCAACATATATAAATGGTGGTGTTGTGTCCAAATTCAGGCTCGCACCTTTACAGTAGAGGTGTGCTCTATTCTGCCCTTTTTTCCTACCTTGCCTCAACTGTGGATGAGGTGGTGAGCCATTATGGACCATGAAAGCAAGTGAGCATCCTACAGAAGGTACAACAATATAGAAGGAGTCTGGGTCCCTGAACGACCTCATGGAGCAGATCCTTTAAACCAACATTGCACTGTGTATTTCCAGTCTGGGAAATGAGAGAAAAATAAACTTCTAACTAACTTATTCAAGACACTTATTTTGGACCTTGTCATATACAACTAAAACTATATTCCAATTTACACATATAAGATTATATCTTAGTGTGTTTTGCCATGCTATAGTTCTGAAATGCACAGGAATTAAATTTATTTTTTTACATAAATTTTTGTCAAGAAACAGAAGTGTTAGTTAAAACACAGTTTAACTTATACAAACATTTTAGACAAATGGATTCAGAATTTATCTTGAAACCGAGAAATGTTATATGTACTTTTTCATTTTGCATCCATTTTTAATGCAAAAACAGTTATACATATTCTTTCAAAAGAATATGAAAAAATGAAAAGAAGTTTGAAAAAATGTTTGTTTTTACTCCTTTTATAAATGGAAAGTTTATGTTCTCAAGTATTTTAATTGGTTGCTCAGAAGGTATCTTTCCCAAACAGAAACATTTTTTAAAGCACAGAGATTGTCAAACACCATTTAAAAACCCAAATGGTTTACATTAAATTTACAAATTCAGAGTTCTAAGTTTAAAGTTCTCTTAGAAAGCTCAAGAAATTATTTTTAAAAGCAAACATTAACGTACACGTTAAGTATAAATTATTTAAAATGATATCATACATTTAACTAATGAAAGTAGGGAACTTTTCCCCCTTAATTTTGAAATTTAAAAATCCGTCTTTTTTTTCCTATCTCAAACAAACTGAATTCTTCTAATTGTACACTGAAAGCAGCTGTTTGCCGTCAGGTTGGGTCAGCTTCACTATTTTGCCTAAGAACTTTGCCAATCTTTTAGATTCAATGGAGAGACCCTACAACTTCTCAGCTGAGAGTTTTTTCAAGGGTTTTGTTGTTTTCTCATAGAGTAAAAATAAGAAATCCACTGAATTTCAGTTACTTGCTTCCTTGAATCTCAAGTTCATCCCTAAAAATAAACAAACAACATTATCATTGGCTCATCAAATTTTATTTTTGAGGGTCCATACCGTTACAGGTACATCAAGTATGCTGAAATATGGATGGGTACCTCCCATCCATAAGAAGTAGAAAGACACAGTACACAGTCGGGCAGATGATTCAAAGTAAACTTGCAGCTTGCTTGGCCAGGGGTTGGGTGCAATGAGTGTGTGTGTCACCAATTCAAACATAGAAAGAAGACAATCAAAATGAGACCTTTGTCAAGGATTCCACTGTGTATAGACCAAGTCCTTACCTAGGGCATCATTTCTAGTCACCAGGTCCACTTGAGAAGGTGAGTCAGGGCTGGGAGACAGGTACACGGCTCTGGAGAATTCAGAAACTCTGCATCTGTTATTGTGCAAATGGGATCCTAATTCCTAGCTGACTTCACAGAGCAGAATTGGCTCGTTTCACGTAGTAACATACACTCAAGATTTTGCATTTATATTTCATCTTAACCACCGTATTTATCTTTTCTAAGACTGTGTCTAGCAGATCTGGTTATAAAAACATGGGTAGTGGGGACGGCCCTATGGCTGAGTGGTTAAGTTCTCGTGCTCCGCTTCGGCAGCCCAGGGTTTTGCCTGTTCAGATCCTGGACGTGGACATGGCGCCGCTCATCAGGCCATGCTGAGGCAGCATCCCACATAGCGCAACCAGAAGGACCTGCAACTAGAATATAGAACTTTGTACTGGGGGGCTTTGAGGAGAAGAAGGAAAAAAGAAGATTGGCAACCGATGTTAGCTCAGGTGTCAATCTTTAAAAACAAAAACAAACATAGGTAGCATGATCCTGGATGGACCTGACTTAGACAGATGACAGGCAGTGTTGCATGGAACACTGAACACTAAAGGTTTGAAAGGGCCTCTGACCTTGGAGGCTGGCGTCAGGAGACGTAGCAATGAGAATTCTGTCTTGCCGTCCTTCTGTTAGATATAGTCCCTTTGAATCAACACCAAAGCATACTTACTGATGCATTTGCATACAAATGTAAATATAAAATCAGCACAATTTTTATACCGTTCCTTTCCTATTTTACATATCCGTATCTCTTTCTACGTCTTATATAGATTTAACACATTTTTAAAACTCAGCTGAAGATTCTATTTACTAACCAATGCTTTTTTGATTAGGCTATTTTAATTTCTCATTACTGTTAACAGTGCTCATGGTGAGACCACTCCTTCGCAAGCTTTAGCTCTTAGTTCCGGATTTGAGAGAGCTATGGATAGGCGCTCTGTAGAGATGCAGATGTGGTGCAGGACAGCTCCAGGGGTGACCATACACGCTGGCATCTCAGGAGATGGTGGGCTCTGGAATAGGGTCATGCACAGCCTTCCAGGCTGTATGCGATGGCCCTGGCTGCAGAATTCTACATGTTCCCAGGAAGACAACCTCTCCCCCAGCCCTGGGGGAAGATCTCCACTCCCACCCCTCCAACATTCTTCTTTCAACTCTTCCAGGATTCCTAATAGGCTAGTCTCAGAAGGACACTGCAATTAAATCGGTTATCCACCTCCCCCAAAACTAGGAATGATTAACAAGGTTAAGGGACTAAGAAATAACTAGGATGAATTCCATCATTCGCTGATTCTCTAAATCCCTGTACTCCTCCAACTTTGACTGGGCACGAAGCTCAACCCTCTGAGTTCACTCCTCATCACTGTCACACTTACCAGGTAGAATGCCATACTAAGATTAGTTGTGACACTATCTGGAGGGAATACCTGGTGGGTTTACTGTCCAAGTGTTCAGGCATGGCTATGAAGTTGAGTACAAGCAATTTATTTGAGAGGAGAACCCAAGAAATACTGGTAAGGAGGTGGGGGAATGAGATTGAAAAGTGGAAGAAGGCCATAAAGGATGCATTTTCAAGCATGTTAATACTGTGGGCCTCTGTGGCTCAACCCCAGTGAGGAACTGGGGAGAGAGTCTAGGGGAGGTCCTGAGACGTGTCTTCCTCTCTGAGGCAGCCCTGGGCGGAAGCTGGAGAAGTTTTTCACCAGCTCCCATCATTGGTTTGTGACTGCTTTCAGGGACATTAACCCTTTGACCTTTCTGCCTTACCCAGTGTGATGGCTGGCCCTGCTCCCAAAGCCAGATAAGAGTTCTTGGATCTCCACTACGGAGAGGTAGGTATCGGGGCAAGTACCAATACTGTCTGCTCCAGGCATCATCCATGCCTAGATTTCTCAGGTATGTAAGCTGATAAATTTCTTACTTTTATTCAAGAAAATTTGAGTTGGGTTTTATCACTTTTAACCAAATGAATCCTGACAAATCCATATTGCAGACATATATTGCATATCTATATATAATATATAAAATAATATAAATCTCTATATATCTGTGAAATTATTGTGAGAAATAACCCAATGAATAGGATGCATGACCCATGTTAAATTTAATAGTAGTTACCACTTATTAATAGTTATAATTTGAATTTAGTGGCTAGCTACTCTACATCAGTCCCTATGCTAGTCATTTACATGGTACTAAAAATAGTCACACTTTATTGAACCCTTAATTTCAGCCAAGATTTTTAATTTTATTATTTTGTTTAATATATATGTTCTTTTATTTGGCAAGGGAGAAATTAAGGTCCCCAATCAGCTGACCTTGAGATGGGGTGATTACTCTGGATTATCAGGATGGGAACAAGGTATTCATGAGGGCCCTTATCAACAAAAGAGGGAGGCAGGAGAGTCAGCATCAGAGGAAGTTTGAAGATGCTGCGCTGCTGACTTTGAAGGTGGAGGAAGCGATATGAGCCAAGGAATGCAGATGGCCTCTATAAATTGGAAAAGGTAAGGAAACAGATACTCCCCTAGTGCCTCCAGAAGGAGGGAAGCCCTGCAGACACCTTGACTGTAGCTCAGTGAGACCCACTTTGAATATATGACTTCTAGAACTGTAATCAAAATTTGTGTTGTTCTAAGCCACTAAGGCTGTGGTAATTTATTACAGCAGCCCTGGGAAACGAATCCATTGTAACTAAAGTGAGGGGCACTGTCTATAGAACCAGCCACTCCCCAGGTTCCAGGAATAATTGTGATGTTGCTATGAGATCACCCAGAATCTACATCACCGCTCAGATGCTGCAGGGCTGGTGCCTGAGCCCACCATGGGAAAGAAAGATAAAGACAAATCTTCCTCTAAAGGTAGGACTGCTTTAAGATGTTCTGTGTGAGTGGAAGCTTAGCCTGAGAAGCTCTGGCCTAGTCTTGGGTGAAGACTTTCCAGGGGGTTGTTTTTAAAACCATAATAAGTGTTTCTTGACAGATCACTGAATGCATTTTCCTTTTTCATACTCTGATGGTGAATCTTAGAATTTTTATTTTTCTCCTTATTCATAGAGTACAATAAAAATAACAATGAATCTGATAGATTCTGCTTTACTCCGGTCTCTTTCTTTTTGGAATCTAATATTACTCTTCAGTTTAAACATAGACTAGCAAACAATGTAATCATACTGCAAATCTGGAAAAAAATTAGTTACCACTTTTATTGTTTTAACGTAAGTTGAACTATCTGTATACAGAAAGATTAAATTTATTGTCCTTTGAAGAATCTATCATTTCTATGTTGGTGCATTTGATATTTTAAAGTATTTACTCCAATTGGTATATTGACTTTAATATGTACCAACTTGAAGAAGTGTTTCTAATTGTTCTATGACATTTCCAAAGTATATTTTTCAGTTTGTAAATCACACAATAACAAAGTGATTCCATAGTGCCTGGGGCCTGTGCTACTGAGGTCTGAGTCAGTTTCTGATGGAAGAGATTGATAGGGATGTGGGTGTGATTTGATGGGGCAGCCATATAAAAATCTAGCATATCTCCAAAGAATTTCTATGGGAATCGAGACAATCATTGGGCTGCCTTGTCAGGTCTCATATCAGAGTCGGGTCTCAGCAAGATAATGATTATTATTCTACTCAATAGGTAGTAAGATAATAGTTATGTTTCTACTCAATAAGTAGTTTTTATTCTTTCATGCTGAGCAGCACAGAGAGGAACCAGAAATGAAGATAGAAAAAGAGACCTTAGCTTAGATAATCCAACCAAATTCATCTGAATTGGGCAAGCTAACTAATAAGACATATTTTTGAACCTACAAAAACATTTCCCCAAGAATAAACTATACTAGACTCATCTGCCTCTAAATGCCAGTCTATGAATCCTTAAATAGCAGTATTTGACGAAGTCCCCTCCTCTCCTCTTAAGTTGACTAACATTCCCCAGAAACAGAGTTTATTCCCCTGAATTTTCACAGTTCAGGATATTTCATATCAGAATACAATTGGAGTTCAAATTTAATTTTGCCATGCATATTTTGGGATTGTTTACTTTTGTATATTTGTTTAAATATAAGATTGCTATTTTTCTTTATGAGGAGGAGATCTTTTTTGTTGTCTGTTTTCTGTTTTGGGGAGGAGCTATTTTCCGTTACGGCAGTCTGACCTCCTGTGCCTCTCATTCCTCTGGTCTTTAGTTTTCTAATAGAGGTGGTTGCTTCTCAAGTCTCTAGGTGCATACTGTTGATTGCCGTTGTGGGCTACTACTTGATGGGGGCAAAGATATTTCAGGTTCTGGAGACAGACAAGCAGGAGGAGTTGAGAAATTCCTTTTTGGAGGCCAAAGCAGCTTTAATGAAGAACTACGCCTGCATAACTTCAGATGAACTTGAAATCTTTCTTCAGGTAAGAGATAAAGGTGCTTTGTTTTTGAGAGTTATAAATGTGCCAATTGTGTGGAAGAGAGCCAAAGATAGATTTTATAGAATGCCTTCCTATGTGTTTTACCTGAACTAGCACTAGTTTTCTGTCATCTGAAGAGAGATGAAGAAAAAGATAAGCCTTCGTAGTGGAAGGAGATATGAAGACAACCGTATGAGAATGTGAAGGGTGGGACAATACAGTCAGAGGGGAAATGACAGAGCAGACATTGCACGGGCATCTGGACTCTCAGAGGTATCCTGTGCGAGAGTCGGAAGAACAGCCAGGATTGGACTCACTCTCCCACTGATAACAATTATAGAGCAAAACAAATATTTGAAAAGAACTGTCTGAAAACACAGGAGTATAAGCAAAGCAGGCAGGACCCAAAAGGGGGTGACCATTTAAAGAAAGCACATGAGCTGAGTTCCACGTCCACCTGTCTTTTCCTCTGTGGGCACTTTCCAGTTAACCCTGCTTGTACCGGTCAATGAGCCCAAGCAGAAAGCAGCAGTCTTTCTGGGCTGAGGAGACAAAAAGTCAGAACTTGGGGGCTCCAACAGTGGTTGGAATTTTGGGAGAAAATCCCAAGAGGAGGAATCCTCAGAGTGAGAAAGCCCTCAAATTCCAAACCTGTTACGAATCCCGCTCCAGCTGTTGGCCAACTCCGAAATCGTGTGTGCAGAGTACGCCCTCAGGAAAGCACATGAAAGCAGCATCTGTGATTGCAAAGAGCTATATAGAGCTGTCTGGTGCCAGGGAGACTAAAACTGGAGGTCAAGGCTCACCAGGTTAGAGGGACTTGGTAAACACCACAGGCTTTCCATTGAGATCCTAGAAATGCCACATCTAGAAATAAAATTGAAAACAGAGGAAGCCCTAAAAAAGTATAAAATTAATTTTAAGCAGGATCAAGGTGATCTGCCTCTATTCCATCTGCCTGTCAAATAAAACCCCGTCCCCTCTTTAAAGAAATAACGTCAACCAGAATCTCTACAAATTTTCATGTACTATGGCCGCACCCAATTAAAAGTTAGGAAGTGTGATTAAAAGTAGAGACAGTTGACTGGAAACTAGGTGAAATCACAGACACTAGAAAGAGACTCACTAATAATTTGATGCGGAGTTATCATCTAAAAACTTTAAAATAAGTGTGGTTAATAGTTTAAGAAAATCTAATAGAGGATAGAGAATTTCAGTAAATGTCTGGAATTCTTTAAAAAGCATTAAACTAACATTATAGTGCTGGAAAACAGATGAGTGGTTACCAGAGGTCAGCGACGGAGGGTGGAGGCGGCAAAACGTGACTATAAAACATCTTCGTGTTTTGTTGATAGAATAGCTCTGTATTCTTGATTGTGGTGGTGATCACATAAATCATTATGTGCTTTTCAAACATGACAGCTTTATTGAGATATTATTCACATGCTACAATTCACTTATTTAAAGTTTTCAATTCAATGGTTTTTAGTATATTAGAGTTGTGCAATCATCATTTTATGCTATTTTTGCTTAGTTTTGATAGGAGACCTGCATAAATCTTATAGAGCATTGGGAGCAAAACCTCCCTCCCTCCCACCTCCATCCCTTCCTCCTTTTCTTCCTTCCTTCATCCTTTCCTCCCTTCCTTCCTTTAATAGCTATTATGTGCATCTACCTGGCCCATGTCTAATGAATGATGCTGAGCTTGAAGTGCCGTTGGGATTTTTATGTGAAAAGCAGCATTCATTTCCATAGCACATTGCTCCTATTTTTCTTTTCAGTTTTGGACTTTTTGTCTCTTTCTTTAGCAATCAATTTCATTTCTTTTACATCTTTTAGAAATTCTTCACAATTCAGATTTACCTATGATTCTTGCTTTTCAATACTGTGTTTTGCTATTTTGTTTTATGTACTTTTAGTGTTATTTTAATGGAATTTTAGGGGAACAGGCAAGAAAAAGGAGCCCATCCCACTCCTTTAAATCACAGGTAGCCCTAATGTCATCTTTATGTCATTCTTTGTGTGCTATTTACAAATGATTATGGTGTCCACCATTTCAATCAGCAGTCTACACACACCCCTCCTAGATTCACTCAAGAAAGTGGCCATAATTAAAATTTGCTTACAATCTGTCCTCCTCGCATGTAACCTGTTAGCAGCATTGGCTTTCTTCACACAGCTTCCAAGACACCACATTCTAATTCTGATTTTCCTCCTATTTTGCCAGTTGTTCCATTCTTCTCAATAATCTCTTAATATTGAAGGGCTCCTGGGCTCAGTCCTCAGAACTTTTCTCTTTATGCTCATTTCCTTTGTGGTTCATCTATCTCATGGTCTTTTAACATGCCGACAACTCCCAAATTTATATCTTGGGCTGAGGTCTTTCTCACAAATTCCAGATTGTCTATCCACTTGCCTATTTAAAACCTCCACTTGGATGTCTAACAAACTACTCAGATTCATGACTTCCAGAAATGAACACCTGCTCTTTCCCTTTAAAAAGGACATTTTTCCACCCACCCTCAACCACCACAGCCTTTCTCACCTCACTTGATGGCAATTCCATTCTTTTAGTTGCTCCCATGAAAAGTCTTGGAGTCATCCTTGACTATGCTCCTCCTCTTAGACTCAGTTTGAATCTCTCAGGAAATCCTGCTAGCTGGACCTTCAAAACCTATCAGAGTCTCACTGCTTCTTGTCACCAACACTGTTGCCACTCCATCTCACTGGGCCACCATCTAGTCTCTTCTGGAGCTTCTGGAGTTCTGCAACATTCTCCTAACAATCTCCTGGCTTTGACTTTGCTCTCTGCATTCTCTTCTAAATATAGCAGCAGAAGTGACCCTTTTGGTCTCCTTTTGGTTTGTAAGTCAACTTCTCTGCTCAAAACCTTCAGTGACCCTCTCCATTTCACTCAGACTGAAAGCTGAAGTTCTTTGATCTTACGTGATCTGCTACTCCTCTATTTCCTCTCTTACTTCCTCTTCTTTCACTCTGTCCTCAACTTTGCTCTAGAATATTCCAGGCTCTTACCTGTGATCTAGGTGTTTCCTTTGCTTGTAGTGTTCTTTCCGCAAATACTTGTTTGGCTAACTTTCTCACTGCCTTTGAGTCCTTGCTCAAATCGTATCTTATCAACGAGACTTTCCCTGACTATCCCCCTCCCAAAACTGCTGTTCCACCTTACTCTGCCCTACTTGTCTCTGATCACCTCCTAATATATTATCTAATGCTTATGTTTATTTCCCCCTGCCAGAATCTAAATTCCACATACGTGGATTTTTTCCTATATTGCTTTAAGGGAAAGGTCATATATTTCATCAAATTAATCCTTACTTCTTTTTGTTTTGTTTTAACTTGTAGACACTGACTTTTTCTGTAAAAAATGGAATAATCCCCTTAAAAAATGGAACTCTTTATCTAAGTTGGAATTTTAAGAACTCTATTTCATTTGTGGCATACACATTAACCACAATAGGTGAGTATAGTACTTTATTTTTAGTGTAATTTATTTTTATTTCTTATTAGGGTGCCAATCATTTAAAATTTTATCATAGCACGGAGCTTTGTCTACATGAGCCATAACCCTTCAACCTGCAAATTTAGAACAGCTTTCTTTTTTTTAAGAGGATGTTTCATCAATACATGCAGCTTCCCCTTTATTTTGAATTTTTAGATCATTTATCTCTTCCTTAGCAAATTCTGTGTGCCTTTTCTCTTGAGTAGGTCATCTTGGCCATGGTATTTCCATCTAGTCTTCCAACATACTGGTGAGATAAGTAGCAAAGCCTGAACCAGCCAGATTTTCTAGGACTCCTGATAGAACTAAGAAGTCTATAAGTCTCCTTGGAATTCGGCTAGAACTTAGCTGGAGAATTTTGTGATTTAAAAACAAACAGTTACCATAGGTTTCTGCTAAACTTTAGACACTTCTAAGATATTTTATTATCAACCAAGGGCTTTTAGTGTTTCCAAAAGGCATAAACGTACCTTAAGATAGCTGTTGTCAAAGACGCTCGGAGAGTCCTGGGAAATGCCACTGTAGACTGCCACAGATGGCTGGCACTGCCGTGGAATGTTTCTTCTTGTGGCACTGGAGATGGTTAATAAGCAAAGGCTGTTATTCTCAAGTATGGCCTGCTCAGGTCTATTTTCCTTTACTGAAAATAGGATGCATGTTCACAGTGACGAAGAATGTAATGCCTGCAAATTCCCAGCCAGATGACCATATTAGTTTAGAAACCAGTCTCACTTGTTTATTGTATTTCAGTGAAAAAATTGGGAGAATCTTGGATTTCAGGGATCCACATGAGGTCAGAGTGTTGGGAACAGATGTCACCATAACCCATGGATTCTGCCCTGAGGAGAATAACAGCAGAGGTCTGAATGTCCTTCCTACCTTGGTGCACGGCTTGGTAGTGCCCACAGAGGCCCAGCTGAATGGTGGGCATGCCTTTTGTCATCTGACCCCAAGCCCAGTGAGCCACTCCAGCTCTGGGCCACTGTAGAGAAATAATCTTAGCTTCAGGCAGTTCAACAGCGCCCAATGGCTCTGTTTCACAGGGAATTAAAGGAGGTGAGCCCACTTGACCGTTTTCTGTCATCTGGTGTTCTGACATTTTTATCTTGTTGAGATGGAATCAAAGTATCATCTTGTCTGCGGAATGGAGGTAGTCCTGATATCTCAGTCCTGAAAACTGTCAATTAGCCTGCTTTGTCTTGGTTGTTAAAACAAATTCTTTTAAACATGTGAGTTAAGGAAAACTATGAATTCATATGAGTTCAGGCATGACTTTAAATGGGCATGAACTCCTCATTTGTTGTAATAGCTTTAACATTGCCAGGCTGTTTAAAATATTACCACAGGCAGCCGAGGGAGTTTTTGTGTAAACTCCATGAAAAACTGTGAAACTTTGGTATAGCATTCTTCTCCTCCACCTTTTTACGGTGATATTGCCTTCTTATTCTTTTACATCATTGAAAATAAAAATTAAACTTAAGAGTCATGAGCACAGAAGGAATAAAACTGTTCAGGTCATCAATTATGTGTGTGTGTGTGAGTGTGTGTGTGTCTGTGTAACATGTTTTCACAAAAGCAATCCCAAATCCACAACTTAGAGAAATGAGATGTTGTTAAATTTTGTTCTATACATAAGGCAGCAAATACCAACATGTATAAATTAAAATAAGATTCAGTAATAGAGATTGGCTTATTCAAGCTTGACTATATGCAAAGTAGCAAATTTCTCCATTTTTCTTTTCTTTATCCCATAAATACACCCATTATGAATGATTATAGCAAAATCTACAAAAAAATCTCTTTTTTCCTCCAGCAATATATGATTAATTTTCCATATCACTGAATATGCTTGCACAACGTAATTCTTAAAGACTGCAAGATATTTTATTGGACCATTTTACTCAGCATATCTCTTCTAATGTTAGCCATTTATGTTAGTTCCCATTTTTCACTTAAATAATGCTTTGGTGATATTTTTACACACTTCTAACTTTTCTGATCATCTCCTTAGGAGAAATTTCTGGATGTTAAATGACTCAATAACACGTTTTGTTTTAAAAACTATGTGTACTGCTGGGGCTTTCGTAATAAATATCGTCAAAAGTGCGTGTTCCAGAGGGTAGTAATGTTGAGTGGATATTAAATTCGCCTCTTCTCATCCATCAGGCTACGGGACAATTGCCCCCAGAACCCCCATGGGCCAGCTGTTCTGTGTCTTCTATGCTTTACTGGGGATCCCTCTCACTATCATCTTCCTGGAACTTGTGAGTAAAGCAATCTCACAACCACTTTCAGGACTTGGGAAATACCTTCAGAATATGGGAATCAAAGAGGTAATGTTTACTAAATGGTATTTTAAAATTTTCTTACATATGCTTGAATTCATAATCTTACAAAGAATAAGTACACAACACTTAATAAATTCTTGTTAAATACAAGCTAAAAATAATCTGCATTATTATACGTATATGTACATGTATATACACACACACATATTTGGTATGCTTGCCCTATTTTTAGTGGAACTTCTAGATCGAGAAAAGGGTAATCAGACCAAAATAACTACAGTGCTTTATTTTTCTTCTTCGGAGAATAGGAGTATTATTTCAAAGAATTCTTATAGAATATTATGGTATAAATGCAGTTGCACAGGTGTGATTTTATTTGATTCCCTGAACCACTCTATGAGGTAAGTATGGTAAAACCTAACATCTAGATTTTCTAGAGGAAGTTATCAACTTGAATTCAATTCTTCCAATGCTAGAGTGTGAGCTCGTTTATCTCACAATTCCTTTCTTGACACTGCTAAGGGCAAGAAATTATTTAAGGCTACAGATTACAGAAGTATATAATTAGGAGAGGGTATTTGGAAAACTGTTAGACAAATGTGTCGAGTTGGGGCAAAGCAAAATAAAGATAGATGACATGGATGGATTCCTAATATTCCAGGCATCCCAGAAAGAGATATGCAGAGATGACAAGACCGGAAGATATTTGCTTTTATTACCAGGAGGGTTTGCACGAGGTAATCTTGTGAAGCAGGCTGAATTTTAGTAATAACCCTGCAGGACTAGCTCATCCAGTTTAAATAGATGACTGAGGCAGGGTGCTCCTCAGGACTTCCTCTTTGGATTCACACTCACTAGCTTAAGAGTAATAACTATAAGGCCAGCTCAATGTCTAAACAGCTTAGTCTAAGCCAGCTGCCCCAGGCCTTCTCAGGAAAGAGCAGTGCTGAGTAAGAGCAGATCCTGGCTGGTGCTACTTCCCCAGTCTCAAGGAAGTGAAGTCAGGAGAAAGAAAGTCCTGGGAGATTATTTGACCAGTTACTCCAAGATGGTGGTTAGTGAATGCTCTTGTACTTGACCCATTCCTACCAGCAATTCTCTCTTGCAGGTGGATTCTGGGAGAGGTGGAAAGAGGGGCAAAATCTTTGAGCATTCATTAGGGACCAAAAATCCTCTGTGAAATAGTTCAACCAGAGAAGTTTCTTTCTCCTTCAAGGAAGGAGATCACATAGCATCTAAAAAGATTTTGCCCATTTTGTTTTCCTGGGGCCACGTTATCAGTCCTTGCAATTATCTCTGGTATTAAAGATTTGGTCATTTCAGAAACTTAAGATCTCTTGGACTTTGCCTTCTAAAGCCAGCACAAGGCCGAGGTTGTACCTTATTACATGCTTATAAAGATGTCTAAACAACCTCATCAGACAGGGTCACTCAAGTTCACCAGATAATAGCATGACCCAAATAAAATTTTGTCAGTGATATAGAATGCTCTGAGCTTGCCACCACCATACAAAGTTAAACAAAAGGAGCTATTAACAGTGGTTCCCACAGAAAAGAAAATCCTCGATATCAATTTCCTCTTGTTCCCAAATCTCCTTAACAGTTCCAAAATATAAACTGGAAATCCTCTACCTGTTTCTTCCACTCTCCTCTAATTCCGCTCTCTCCTGCTCTGGGTGTGTTATATAGGTTGATAAGAAGCATCTGCAAAGTTGATCTGCAAAGTTGATAAGAAGTCTCTGTTCCCAAATCTCTGGAGAAACAAGATATATAAAAATTCTATAACATCAGCTCCATAGCCCACCAAATTTAGAAAGTACTGCAAATCCCACAATACAATGTAATCATTGAATCAGCATATTATATAAATGCTAAAATTTAAGGAAATATTTCTGAGATCCCTTTACCATAATAAGTCAAAAAAATATGTATAGCCCTTAGCATAGTGTCTGTCCCATATGAGGTACTCTATAAGTGAAAGTTTAAAACATGTTATTTCTAATATTGGTTTACCTGTCTGTCTCTCCTCCTCCCCCCAACAAAACTGTAATCTCTGTGTGAACAAACTGTCTTATTTTTACTTTGTACCTTGAGTACCTCCGATGGTACTTACTAATGGGAAAAACTCAGTAAACACTTGTTGAATGAATTTGAATTATACCACAACAAGCATTTAATCAATTAATATGATACAGAATTGTAAATGTAATATCCAGTTTTTAGATGGGAAAATACATTTATTTTTTGTTATAGTTTGAGGTGCTGAAATGTCTTTTAACAAAATATGATTCTTTTATTTGCCTCAAAAAGTTAATGTCCTGAACTTCCAGATGGTGACCGTCTATCCTACCCTTTTGCACAGCCAGTGGGACCCAGAGCTGGAAGTGGGAGTGAGCAGGTCACAGAGCAAATGAACATTGTAGTCGGAGACCTAGGCATGGCAGGAATGTAAATTGTTTTACATTAAAACTATGCAAAGTGCAACAAAATGCACGAAGAGAGAAAACTGAAATAAAGGGTCAAGAACAGAGATTCATAAGGAAGAAGATGGTTCAGTTGACAGAGCTGGGAAATACTCCTAGATGCAGAGGAAGTCTGCAAGTCAGAGTATGGTAGGATTCAGCACGCAAGCCCTTGGTCAGGAAAGGATCTGAAAGGGGCAAATGGTAGCTTAGTCAACCATAGCTCTCTGATGGCTGTTGGATTGATATTAACATCTTCCTTCTTTCTTTTCTTCCTTCCTTCCTCTTCCCTTCCCCCCTCTCCCTTCCCTTCCCCTTTTTTTCTCTCCCCTACCTTCCCTCCCATTCCTTCCTTCTTTCTTTCCTTCCTTCCTTCTTTCCTTCTCACTTTTTTTCATTTTTTTAGGGACAAGTTAAAATTTGCATGCTCGTCTTTTTCTTGGTAACTGGACTCCTCATTTTCATCCTGCTACCACCACTAATTTTCACGCATACAGAGGGTTGGACTTATGAGGAAGGATTATATTTTGCATTCATTTCCTTAAGTACCATTGGGTTTGGTGACTATGTAATAGGTAAGTCAACTGATGTTATTAATCTTAGAATTGTATTAGCATTAATAGTCACCGAATCAACAGGATTGGAAGTAAAGTATAATTCAAAATATAGCATTTATCTATAGGAGTTAGGGTAGAGGTCAAAACTCCAGTCACCTGACAATCCACGAAAGAATCCAAAATAATTCCTTTCCATCAACGTTCTTTGTTCAGGCCACAGAGTAAATTGATTATAGGAAAATGGAACAGAGGAATTCTTTTCAAAGCATGTCACCACTTACTCATACAGGTATTCAAAGTTCATGTGAGATGAAAATAGTGAGTACAAAGGGTGAATCCCATGCAACATGTACTTTCAGTCCACTTTCACCTTGGAATAAATACACATCAGGAGGAAATAAAGACCCTCAGACATTAAGTGTTCATGTATATACCTAAATTCAACAGGAAAATATCCAAGAAGCCTTGTAAGAAGGATTATTTCTATAAGGTCTTTTTGTATTGGTGGGTTCTTTAAAGGAACAAAGCAAATTTCCAGGCTATACATTTTGGAAAACTTTTCCACTGATCTTGATTCATTTCTGCCTCGAATTAACATCATAATATCAGGCATTATTCTTACCATTAACATATTTTTTTAAAATTAGCCCAAAGAACATAGGCATAGCACCCAATTATGCATACATGCACACACCTCACACCTACGTAGAAGAATCAGTTTTCTACCACCATAAGCACAGAGCTAAGAAGCTGATCATTGATGTTTCATCTACTACGATCTATGCAGGTCAACTTGGACAAGCTACTTGACCAGTAGGATTCAATTTGATCTAATATAAAATAGCTGGGATGAGGGAAACTTTGAACTAGTTGATTTTTTTCTCCCAATCAACTAGCCACTCAACCAGTCTAGCGATGAGTATTTCTTGAGCCTTTCTTACCATATGAAAGTCTTGAGTGATTTGTGCTGGGGAATCAACATTGACTAAAACTTGGCTCCTATCTATAAGGAGCACACATTGGAGTGGGTAGGATGTAGACATATAAATAGATAATTACAATTCAGGCTGCGATAAGCCATAAATGATAATAATATAATGTTAAATATATTAATAAATATATATAATATATATAAATAAATAAAATATATATAATAAATATAATGTTAAATGCAATTAAAACGTGTGCTTTTGCTGGATACCTATAGTTTATCCTGTGCTCCTTGGCAAGTCTTCACTGAAGGATATATAGTCTTTATTAGCAAATGCCAGAATGTGACCAGAGTTCTTATGATTATTTACCTTTTGATACACAGTGTTAGTTTTAAGGATATTTGAGGCAAAAATAGTGTAAAGATTGAGAGAATGAAGCCAATGTTCATTGAGTTTCAATGTAGTGTGAGATGGTTGTCAGGATTATGGGTATTTTTTCTTTGTGTTTCTAGTTGTTATTTCAAATTACTTTTTACAATAAAAAGTTAAAAAAAAATCTGGCATGTTTGTAGCCATAAAGAACAAATCAGTGGCAGAGTAGGAATGTATATTTGTGAATGGCTACATCATTTTTTCCTTCTTCTTTTTTAAAGATTGGCACCTGAGCTAACAACTGTTGCCAATCTTTTATTTCTTTTCTTCTTCTCCCCAAAGCCCCCCAGTACATAGCTGTATATTCTAGTTGTGAGTGCCTCTGGTTGTGCTATGTGGGACGCCGCCTCAGCATGGCCTGACAAGCGGTGCAATGTCCATGCCCAGGATCTGAACCAGCAAAACCCTGGGCCGCCAAAGTGCAGCGCACGACCTTAACCGCTTGGCCACGGGGCGGGCCCCACATCATTTTTTTTAAAAAAAAATTTGAGTTTCTTTTAAAAGGCTCTTTTTTAAAAAAAGGTTTTTATATTTTATGTTAGTAAATCCTTAGCAGCAATGAAAGCAAAGAAATGGTCACATTAACGTATGTCTCAAAGTTTTATGGCACATCTGGACTCCAGCTCATGCTGTAAGATGTTCAGAATTCAGCTCAATAGATTTGCATAGATACTTTTGAAATCATACATAGAAATAGAGCTTTTTTCCCTTCACATAATAGATATGTTACAAAAAAGCTTAATGTAAACAAAATTTTGTAACTATAATCCCATATTCTCATTCAATATGATAGTCATTTCGGAAGTACTGCTTCTTAATTTCTGGTTGGCATTTAATAAACAGTGATTAGACTCTAAATGTAGACATTTTTATGAGTTTCCACTGGTCTGGTATAGTTTATGAGGGAGAAGAGAAGATCAGAGGCAAAAGTTATCTTCCAATGATTTAAACGTGATTTACTTTTTGCCTTTAGATACGTATCCCCCTCAGAAACATACACGACTTTACCCAGCAATAATAATACTTTGGTATACCTTTGGTCTTACTTGGATTACTCTTATGTTTGATTTGTTTTCAAAAATTTTGGAAAAAACTAAAAAAACCCTCACTTGCAATACGTTAAGTCAAACAGAAGAAACGTCGTCTACGAAAACTTCATTTTTCTGGGCTTTGAGTGAACAATCAGAGAGAGAGTCTCAAACTTCTCTTGTGAAATAAAAAAAGGGACATGATGATGCAGAAGAGAATAAATGTGTTTTCTTCATTAACCTGCCATCTGGGTCACATCCACAGTGAAGTTTTGTAATTCATATTTTATTTTGAATTATAATAAATAACTAATTAAAAATACAAAAGCCCAACTGTCATCATTGGACCTTTCATTTCAAAACCTTTCTTTATGTAATATTTGATACAATAAAAATAATTGATGCAATCGCATGTTAAAAAGAGCAATAAAATCCCATGAACCCACCATACAACTTGTGAAGTAGAAGTAACGAGAATATAATTGAAGCTAACTCTGTGCACATCCCCAGTCCATCCTCCTGGCTCCCCAGAGGCAACAGTCATATCCATCCACGTTGTTAGTGCATCATTACCAAGTTATTTTTTAAAATACTTACTCTACTTCTGCTCACACCAGAAGGGCATTTGACTTTCTATCATTCCATGTTTTCACTTTAACTTGATGTTGTCAGATTTAAAATTTTTGTCTGTGTAATGGGTATAAAATGCTATCTCACTGTAGTTTTGCTTTGGTTATTCTTGTTTACTATAGAGGATGAGCACCTTGTGTTTCTGGCTATTCTTATTCATTTGTTTGTTTTGTGTGAATTCCCTCTTCATGAATTTTGCCCATTTTTTCTACTCGTTATTTGTCTTCTATTTAGTAGTTTGTAGGAGTTATTTTCTTTTTAATAAATTCTGAATACGAATCCACTTTCAGTTATATTTATTGTAGATATCATATCCAGTTTGTGACTCATCTGTCCCATCTTTATGGTAGCTTTTGATAAACAGAAGCTCTTAATTAGAATGTAGTTCATCTTTTCTTTTATAACGACTACTTTTTCCATCTTGTTTTAGAAATCCTTCCACAACCCAAGGTGACAAAGCTATTTTCTGATTAATGTACTTAACCAAATTAATTGAGGACCTAACCTGTGTATGTGTCTTCCCTAAGCACTGTGAGGAATATGAAATGAAGATATAGTCACTGCCTGAATGGTAATTAAACACTGACTAATATTAGATACAGAAAATGAATGCCTTTTGTGTGCTAGTCACTGAGGTAAATGTATTAAAAACTAAAATGTATTGAGCACTTATATGCTAAGTATTTTGCATTTATCATTTTATCTAATCCTCACAATAACCTTAGAAGTAGGTAAATAATACCATTTTACAAATGAAGCAATAGATCTATGATAATTTGCCCAAGTCACTCAGAAAGTCTGATAGTGAACATAGTTCATTCAAGCATAGCAATGTCCCCAACTCATCTTTTATATACTGTAAGAAAAATATGAAATAATCCAAATAAATTTAGCATTTACATTTTGAAGACCTAGGTACAGAGCACAGATTTATGTCTTCTAGTGTTCACATGCCATTTATATAAATAAATGAATACCATAATTAGGATCAAAGTACATTGGGATCAAAGAAGGAGAAGCCTAGGTTATAGCTAAAGAGAATCAGAGTCAGCATCAACAAGAAGGTGACAGCGAGCTGAGTCAGGATGGCTGAAGAAGAGTCTAGTAGGTGGAGAAGGCTGGGAAGGTTGGAGGCAAAGGCCTAAGGCTTGATAGTGCCTAGAAAAGGGAAGACTGAGAAGAGAGCAGTAGGGCAAGACATGAGGTTGAGAACACAAGGAGGTTTGATGGCTACAGAATGGAGCTGCATCTTGGGTAGAAAGAGGATTCATGGGGGACTGAAGAGTGTGGATGGGATAAGACTGAGCTGAAAGAGTTCAGGAGAGAAGAAAAACTCTGAAGGTTTTGTGATGCTCAGAGTCTGTTAATCACAAGGACAGTTTCTTCGTGTTGGCCACTGGATGGATGTGGTAATAATGGGGAGCAAGAACTAGTCATTCATAAGGTTCCAAATGGAACTGTGGAGTGGGTAAAAATTTAGACAGGCTCAAAAAGTCCACTCAGGTGAAGTTCTTAAAGATGAATGAGTCATTGCCCAGTATTGTGCTGGAGAAGAAGCCAAGGCCTTCATCTTTTGGTATAACTGCTTGAGTGAGAGATCTGGCCAGATAACATCTACCACGGTTTCGGGTTTTTCCTCATTGGGCAGGGGACAGCTTCAGCACGGTGTCATGAATAACTTGGAAAGTTCTCACACAGTCTGTGAAGACTGAGAGAGGTGGCTGTTTTGCTTAATGCACAGATATCAATGCAAAGAGTCAAGAAAACAAAGAAACAAGGAAACACCTCCCAAACAAAATTACAAGATAAATCTCCAGAAACTGACTTTAGTGAACTGGAGATAGAAGATTTATCTGACAGAGAATTCAAGATAACTATTATAAAGATGCTCTTCATGATCAGGAGAACAATGCATGAATAAAGTGACAACTTCAACAGAGAGAGAAAATATGAAAAAGTACCAAACAGAAATCATGGAGCAATAACCGAAATGAAAAGTTCACTAGAGAGGTTCACCACACTAAAACAAGCAGAAGAAAGGCTCAGGAAACTTGAAGATCAGTCATTGGAAAGTATCCAGTCAGAGAAGAAAAAAGAATGAAAAATACTGAAGAAAGCTTAAGGAACATATGGGACACCATCAAGGAGATCAATATATGCATTATGGAAGTTCCAGAGGAGAAGAGTGAGAGAAAAAGGGGCAGAAATCTCATTAAAGAAATAATGACTGAAAACTTCCCAAATTTGGGGAAGGAAATGGATATTCAGACCTAGGAAGCCAAACAGTATCTAATATGAAGAATCCAAAGAAATTCACATCTAGACACATTATAATCAAATGATCAAAAGTCAAAGAAATTTTTTTTTAATTATTTAACAATTATTATTTAATAAAGACATTACCACTGACATACATCTTAGAAATGTGTGAAAGAAGTTGATGAATGCTATTTGGAAGGATGGGCAAGAGAGATTCAAGAGCAGGGCTCTATGTAAAGAAAAATGCATTTTAGTTTATCTCACCCCTTTTAATTTAGAAAAATTCATGCTTAATATGTCCATAATCATTTTTTTCTGTGATGATAACAACTAAGATCTACCCTCAAAGAGAGAATTTTGGAAGCAGCAAGAGACAAGCAACTTGTCACAGACAAGGTTAACCCTATGAGACCATCAGCAGATTTCTCAGCAGAAGCAATGCAGGCCAAAGAGAGTGGGAGGATGTATTCAAAGTGCTGAAAGAAAAAAACTACTAACCAAGAATACTATACTTGGCAAAACCATCCTTCAAAAATGACAGATAAAAATCTTTCCCAGGCAAACAAAAGCTAAGGGAGTTCATCACCACTACATCTGCCTTACAAGAAATGCTAAAGGAAGTTCTTCAAGTAGAAATGAAAGGATTCTAAACAGTAACACAAAAGCATATGAAAGTACAAAACTTGCTGATAAAGGTAAATAAAAGACAAAGACAGAATAATGTAATATTGTAATGGTGGTGGGTAAATCACTTTTAATTTCAGTATAAAAGTTAAAAGAAGAGCCAGCCTGGTGACATAGTGGTTAAGTTTGTGCACTCTGCTTTGGCAGCCCAGGATTCACAGGTTCAGATCCCGGGTGTAGACCTACACACCGCTCATCAAGCCACGCTGTGGTGGTGTCCCACATACAAAATAGAAGAAGATTGGCACAGATGTTAGCTCAGCAACAATCTTCCTCAAGCAAAAATAGGAAGATTGGCAACAGACATTAGCTCAGGGCCAAACTTCCCCTCCAAAAAAAAAGTTAAAAGACCTAAGTATTAATAACTATAACCATAAAAATGTGCTAATGGATACACAGCAAAAAAAGATGTAAATTGTAATATCAATAACAAAGTGTGTTGGGGGTAAGTAAAAGTGTAGAGTTTTCGTGTGCAATTGAAGTGAAGTTGTTATCCCCATACTATAACCGTAAGTTGTTTTATGTAAACCCCATGATAACTACAAAGAAAATACCTATAGAAGATGCACAAAAGAAAAGAGAAAGAAATCAAAGCATATTAATGCAACAGATCAGCAAAACACAAAAGAAGACAGCAAGAGGAAAAGAGTAACAAAAGAACTATGAGACAGAAAGAAAACAGATAACAAAAAGGGCAATAGGAAGTTACTCCCTGTCTATAATTATTTTAAAGGTAAATGGATTATACTCCTCAATCAGAAGACATAGACAACTAAATGGATAAAAAAACCCAAACAATATTTAAGTACAGTCATGTGCCCCATAATGATGTTTTGGTCAATGACGGACTGCACATATGATGGTGGTCCCATAAGATCAGTACCATATAGGCTAGGTGTGTAGTAGGCTATACCATCTAGGTTTGTATAAGTACATTCTATGATGTTTGCAAAGTGATGAAATTGCCTAATGACTCATTTCTCAGAATGTATCCTTGTTGTTAAGAAACACATGGCTGTATATCCTGTCTACAAGAGACTCACTTTAGATAAAGCAAGCATTGACAGAACTGAAGGGAGAAACAGATATCAATGCAATCATAGCAGGAGACTTCAAAACACCACAGTCAATAATGGATAGACCATCCAAACTGAAAATCAATATGGAAACAGTGGACTTGAACAACACTATAGACCAAATGAGCCTAAAAGATATAAACAGAACATTCCATCCAACAGACTATATATTCTTCTCAAGAACATGTGGAACAGTCTCTAGGACAGATCATGTGTTAGGTCATGAAACAAGTCTTAATAAATTTAAGAAAATTAAAATCATACCAAGTATATTTTCCAACCATAGTGGAATGAAACCAGAAATCAATAGCAGAAAGAAAGCTGGAAAATTCACAAATACATAGAAATTGAATAACACACTCCTGAACAACCAATGGGTCAAAGAAGAAATCAAAAGGAAATTAGAAAATATCTTGAGACAAATGAAAAACTAAAACACAACACACCAAATCTTATGAGAAGTTGCAAAATAGTACTAAGAAGGAAGTTTATAATAAGCGTCTACATCAAAAAAAGAATGATCTCCAATAAACAACCCAACTTTATACTTCAAGGAACTAGAAAAAGTAGAACTAAGCCCAAAGTTAGAAAAAGGAAAGAAATAATACAGATTAGAACATAAGTAAATAAAGGATACAAAAATAGAAATTGAGTTGACTTTTGAAAAAAGATTTTAAA